GTGGTGGAGATGCATCTGCCAGTATTGGGATCGGCGGTGAATCCAGGTTCGCAGGTGCAGCGATATCCCACGCACGTGCTATGTGGACCGCAGCCATATCTGCAATTGCCGATGGGCTGCGATGTTGGGGTTGTCGTTACGGGGATACATCTACGGGTATCAGGATCGACGGTGTATCCGTATCCGCACTGCGCTGAACCTGTTGTACTCGGGACGCATTTACCGCTGTGATGGTCCCGCGTGTATCCAGGTCTGCAGCTGCAAGAGTTGGGTGCGATGCACTCGCCTCCATCACAACCACCCGGGCAGACGGGTATGCAAGCGCCAGTGTGAGTGTTCGTGTAACCGGCCCTGCATAAGCAAACGTTTGGTGCGACGCAGTAGCCGTGAGGACAGTTGGTCGGGCAATGGGGAACGCAGGACTCGGTGTCGCCCAAAAAGTTGGTGTATCTGTAAAACAATTTATGGATGCATTATGATATTATATACATTTATACGCTTTATTGATTAGTCAACAAAGGAGATTGTCAGAAATTTATTAGGAAGTTAAAATTTTGAATTGCTAAAAAATTTATCGTTAAAGGATAACATCTGTAAAATGTTTCATTTAACCTCTTGAGTCTCAGGCAAGAAAAACGCTTGTGTGCCAAGAATACTATCAATGACATAAATGACATCAATGACATATGCATTATCAGTTCAATTGTTGCACTGCAAAAGTGATTTATTGGCGTTATGAAATATGCGGATTTTTTCGTCATGAAGCACTTTTGCCAGTTTTATTTTGGCGGATTTTTCCGTCATTGACATTCAAAGGGTTAAGAGACACATAAAAGTTAACAAAAAATCATTATTTTTACTCAATTTTACAAAGTCAAAACAAAGTTATTTTGACTTTCTCTTGACGTGGATACATAAGATTAACTTGATACTCATTCTGCAAAACTAGTAATTTGCAAACTTATTATTATCATAACGCGCGACTGCACTTCAAGCGGCAACGTAAATAACATTATCTACGTAGATGTGATCACGGTTACAAAACGACTGATTTATATATCTGTATAATAGCGATTACACGCACAATGTATAATTGCTTATAATATTTTTAACGAGTTCACAATCATTGGTTTATCAATTATTTCGCAATTATATCGCAATTATTACAATCCGCTTTGTAGGAATAGGTTACTTACTACCTAACGTACTATGTGCGTAAATCAGAGTTTAATTATCGCGCGGAATGTTGATGCGAAAGACATTGCGCAGTGGGCGGAGATCGGAGAGATTCGAGATAACGGCATTTAATTACCCTTCGTCGCAGGTGCACACGCCTGGTGCGCTGCACACGCCATGCACGCAACCGCCTTCGCACGCGGCCACGCACTCCTTGCGTTCATTCAGAACGTATCCTTGTCTGCAGTTGCAGACACGCGGCGCCACGCATTCGCCTTGCTTGCATCCGTCAGGACAGATCGGTTTGCATTGGCCGCCGATGTCGTCGTAGCCCAATTTGCACACGCACACCTCGGGCGAGAAGCAATAGGCATTCTCCTGGCACCGATACGAGCAAACGGGCATGCAAACGCCATCCTCGGAACGCCATCCCGATGGGCAGCTGCAGACGTTCGGGGCTGTGCAGCGGCCGCCAAAACAACCGCGTTCACATTGCGGTTCACATAGGCCGTTCGTCACATTGCGCACGTAGCCGTCACAACAGTCCAAGATAGTGATCCAACCGTCAGACTGACGAACAGAATTTATCTTATAATTCCCGTTGTCGAAGCTTTAATTGAACTTAAGAAATCAATGCCTTAAACGGCTAGCTAGATCATAAGTGCTTATATGATTCTGTGTGAATTTATGTACTACGTATGTAGTTCTTTAAAATATGCGCGCCGAAATGATTTTTTGGTCTTGAAATGCAAACTCCGCTAAACTACCGCAGTAATATCACGAATAAAATTGACTAGCAATTTAACAATTTGATGCTTTCTCGCATTTTAGAACGATTTTAACAATGCTGAGTGACATATTAAAATCTGTGAATAATTAATTCTAATTGCGAAAAATATTACCTCGGCCGGGAATCGAACCCGGATCTCTAGGCTTGCATTCCGTGCGAGAGTCCTAAGCCTTTAGACTACCGAGCCACGGAATGCATGAAGAGATCTCCCCCCGGCCGATATAATATTTTCTATTTAAATTGTTTACATCGAGTCTTTTTAATTAGAGAGATTCATAATCAATGCACAGAAAATATTGCATTCTGAAATTTTATCCAATGTATCTTCGTTATATTTATCAAAAATCAATTCAAGAATCTTTTCATAAGTTGTCTTTGATTCAGAGAGACGATTACTTACAGGTTGGCCATCTCCAGACGATTGAGGGATAGTATTGTAAAATGATCCGCTGGTGTTTAAAGCTAAACCATCATAGCTGTATCTGAAAGGCGCGAATACTGCTTGTTACTTTTAAACTATTATTTAAGAAATACTGCAAGTAGAAAATAATGTTCAAAATAATTATCAGAATTATGACGTTCGTCTCAAATTGAAAAACTGATTACTTACGGCACTCTTTTACGGCAAAGGCCATTTTGCGAAGAGTTGGTGCCGTAACTCCCGCTTGTAGGATAACGCGGCCGATGCCCACCTTTGACACCGTCAATCGCCCAGGTGCCAACACCAAGACACGTAAAGACAATCAAGCAAATTAGTAATCTTTGCATGTTGCATGAACGATCGCGAATTTACTACTGAATTTATTTTAGATCAGAGAGTGGGCATCTCCGCGATAAGGATGTTGCGGAAATGCAAGGGTCAGCGGTATTTAATCTTCTCGTTAAATTTCTCATTAAACTACGCAACATTCCCTATTCATGGAAACGGTTATCGATTATGCATATCGATATATTAGAAAGACCAAATGAGGCCAAAGCGTTCGTGTGCCCGTTTCTTTCCAGATATTTTTACTCTTATCTAATTACTGATTAGGTCATTGCTATTAACTGGGTCATAATTGACTCATTAGGCATGGCTTTAATCGGTGAAGAAAATTGATCACGTGCGCAAAGCGAAGGGATAAGATAATGTATTGCAATTAAATCTTAGTTTAATTATATTATAAAAAGACACTCTTCGCATGACGTGAATCATAAAAATTTGCAAGATTTCCCTTTTATAGGATTTTCCTAATATAAGATTAAATAATGAAATGAATATCTTTTTAAAATATTTTTAAATCATGCGCGTTGAAAATTATCATATAAAACGTATGGAGAATAATATGTGTGAGCTAGATTAATTAAGGAATGTATTTATTCACTTGCTTTATCTAAACGAGATTATCTGAAAACAAAAGGTTATATGGAAGGATTTATAGGATGAATATAATATTTTAACTAAGAGAAAAATGCTTTTTGAATTGTCAAAATAATAATAAAATTATTTTGACTTGTGATGTAAGTATTGCATCAAACCGTATAATATTTCTTTTATGTGTGCGCAGTTTATTATAACTCTTGCTGCGCGCATTCAACGTTGTTTATGTAATCCAACTGATATCATTCGGGAATGGATACATGAGCTAATCGGGACGATAATAAGACGGGCACTCAAGAATATGTTAAATGCGATAAATGCATGATATTTATTTATTTAATTACGATAAGCTAATGCTGACTGTAAATAACATTTCCTTGAAACGAATACAAAATCGAAAAAAATTAGTGCAAAACGAAGAGATACATTAAATTATCGCATGACATAGAAACGGAAAATTTCTCTTTCCTCCTATAAAAAACACCGGAGAAAAATATCGAAGATAATGACATAGTTTATTATCTTTCTCAATGATTCTCAGTTTACAAAAATCGCTGCTAATTATAAAATTATAATAAAGTGACTTCTCAAAAGATAGAGGAAGATCACCGATACCAACACACTTTGTTTTTAAACAATATTTCTTAAACAAAAGATAAAAATACAACTTCAAAAACATAAATACAAACTAAAAAGTGTTTTCTATTAGATAGTACAAGCAGTTTTTATAATACTGTTTGCAATTTTGCAATAATTAAGTTTTTCGTAAGTTATGCAAAAATGAGCGTCTGACAAAATGGGCTCCAAAACTGACATAGTAGGCAATAATGCCAACACTCCTATTTTATAAATAAAGATATATCCTATTCTGTAAAGAAAATTAATTTATGAAACTATAAACATTTAAAATGACATAATATTATCAATAATACAGTCACTTATTTTAATTACGCAATTTGCAAAAGAACACCTTAAGAATTTTCTTCTCGGATTCATAGAATTTGTTTTTACCTGATTTTGTATAGAAATAAGCCACAAATATATGAATTATGAGTTTGTACTTCTTTAATTAGCTAAACAGATCACGTTTTTATTAGTATTAATAAAGTGCAAGATTAGTTTCTAAGAAATAAGGGGATGTCGCTTTTTAGGAGACCTATGTCAGTATCGGTGACCTTCCTCTACTAATACAAAAATAATGGCAAAGAAAGACTTATGTAATTATACTTACATAATTTATTTAATTTAATTTAATTAATTACAGATAATTATTTAAAATTGTTCACAAATAAAATAAGTAATGCTAAGGTTATATTATTCTAGGATGCACATATTGTTTGCTTTAAATAGGATTTTTATTCTTTGGTTTCAATTTCGGTGCACGAAAGTCATTAAGTGCATTTCCTCTTACGATAACAAATTTTGTTGATTATATTATCGTTTATGTACACATCATTAACGATATACTTGGAAACTTATATTATCGCAGGATATGTTTTTATGCTTGGAAAAATAGTTCTATTTCTTTGCAGGATGTGATTACCACGGGACTGATTATTTAATAATTCATAATAATATAATGTTGTTAATATTACAGGCGCTGTTCTGCCAGCAACAATAAATAAATACGAAAAGATCGTTCATAATGTTAACTGGAATAAATAAACAATAAATTTATTTGCACAACGGTAATTTATACCGTAAATTACGTCAACACTGAATGACGCTGCCAGATTTATTTATACCGGGCAATTTATTTTCGCATCTATTTATTTGCAAACAGGTAACTCCGTCCCGCAGGCTGCGAAACATTTAATATCATTTGGATAATAACGGTCGGCGCGCGCTATTTTTCCTTCGTTACACGGACTTTATTATTCCTCGCTTTCCACCTAATTGCGCATTTGCGCGCAATCATAATCGAGTGCATTTGCCTCCAGTTTGACGTCATTTTGTCGACACTACAAAATAGTTTATTCAAAAGGAGCTGTATGCTCCGTTAATTAAATTCTACTGTCGGTCACTGACAGTACGATACTCGAACGACTTGTTTCTTCGCCTTGTGCCACTCAATTGCAGTCACGTTTAGCCTTGCACATTTATCGGTTCTGCGTAAGGTCAGAAACCAGTTTTCGCGCATTTTTTCGATCGACTTTTCATCGATCGTTGACAGGTCGCCTAAAAATGTTTCAAGGTCCTTTTATTATGACGCATTATTGAACTGTATAACTAAAGATACGGATATAGACTGGACCATGAACGCAATAAGTGGAAATGCATTTCTCCATCACAGATCCTTGCGATCCGGTGGAGTTGTTTGCATGGGTATTTCGTCATACAAGTGCTCCGTGTTATGGTCGAAATTTGTCTGCAGACGTATCAGAGTTGCCGATGGTCGGTCGTAATGACTGTCTTGTAAGAGGTCTGATAAATTCGCAATAAAAAAATCTATTAAAGATCTTAAAAATAATATAGGTAAAAAAGTGTTTGTGATTTATTCAAAGTAACAATCGTAATCTTTCGAATTTTAACTGTTATAATTAAATATAAAATAAAACCTTTATATATAAATTGTTTTTAATGTTGCTAGCGGTTTGTAGACTTCTTTAATTAACTTGGAGATTAATTTTTTAAATAATTATTACGATTAGTGTGTCTCGTAAAATGTAAATTTGTAAAATTTATTAAAAAAGCTGGAACTTACCGCGAAAATTACCAGAAATTCGCAAACCGATCGTAGCGGCGCCGTTAGCATAAGTATTCAGCGATTCAATGCCATCGACCGTCAGTATCGTTTCCGGTTCTGTGTTAATGGCGAATACCGGATTTGCGCAAATCGGAGGTGCTGAAATCACAAAAATATCGGAGAATATAATACTCAACTGTCTTGTGCTGATAGCACATCTACGATGAGTAGAAAAGACTCAACATCGCACGATCCGATCGGCGAGATAACTTTTTCGCTGACTATGACGGTCAAGACTATCCTTAAAACGATTACGTGACTAGACCCATCGGGGTCAAGGACACGTGGATTTCACAGGCAATCTAGGAGAGAATGTTGCTGTCAGGTGAACGTATGTATAACTCACGAGGCAGAGTGGCGTTCACCACCGACATCCTTCCGTTGTTCACGCTCTCGCGTTCTGGGCTTTTGGTCTTCTCGTCATCGTAGACAGCAAGACGAATGGTCTCGAATAGTTTGGAACGCATGTGAAGGACCATAACCACCGCGAGCGAGGTAAGACCGAGGGAGACAATCGCGGCGATGACAATTAGAGCGATGTCCAACGACATCGGCGTTGGTGTTTGAATATCGTCTGTCGCAATAGAAATGTTTTATTTGAGATCGAGCACTGCAGTACAAAAACAAGACGAAAATTTTAGTATGCATTTTTGAAGTGTCTCGAGATAGTACCTTTGTGAATAGTTTTTACGTAATCGACATTTGGCACGCTGATGCTTTTGTCACTTTGGACGTGTCTGAGAAAAGCGTCCTTCGTCGCGAACGTTTGCCTATCCTTTTCAACGTCCCTTCTACGTTCGGGTACGGAGACTAAAACGATCACAGGACGAGCAGTGGTGGAAGGATTCTTTATTTGCATTTCGTTTGCCGAGACTTCTACCCCCTGAGGAGGGGCTATGATTGAAGCTGTTGCTGGACTCGTCGTTTCCGGAATGTAATTGGTATCATTCCAACTGTTATTGATACCTGCAATTGAAACTAAATATTACAAATATTATTATATTTAATAATTACAATTATGCTTAACTAAAGTGATTTATTACTGCCGTGAAAAACAACAGCGTCACTGTATCGTCGATGTAAAGGTTCAGATTATCGAACCAAACTTCTTCGAACTTTTTCAAAAAATCGTCGGCTTTTGTGAAGAAGCTCAGTTCGAAGTTCGAGGTTAAACTTAAAGTTCGAGGTTAAACTTAAAGTTCGATAATCACCTTAATGTGATCGATTACATTTATACGTATTTTTCATAATACAAAAACTTGCTTTCCCTAACACAAATTTTAATCGGCAACTTTTGCTTGAATTCGCCTTTCGAGACGTCTCCAATATTTGAAAGCGTGGAGATCCATTTCTTTATCTTCCGGCAAACAGTTGCGCAACTCTCTAAAGTCTAAAAGTTTTCTTCGTATTATTTTACCTTCCGTCTGGCGTTCGGTCTCACGTGGCACAGAGACAATCTCCGTATGCTCTGTATTACTAATTCCTGATGTTTGCGGTAGACGGTCGATAGTAGAGCTCTGCAAATAAGCAGGCGACGTTTGCTCGACCGAAGAGGCATCATCGTCAATGCAGCTTCCGGTTACGGCATCGCAGCCATTATTCCAGTTTTGACATGTGCATTTGTTTGCACAACCCGAGCCCCATTGGCCGATTGCGCAATGCTCCTCGCATCTGCAAAAGGAAGCACACAATTTTCATAGTATCATTTGATTTAATGTGCTAAGCGAATACAATCTCGAGCTACTTATTGTTGTTTGGTAAATTTTGATATTTTGGAACAATAATGATCATTGATATTTTTCAACACTCACCGAGGTCCTTTCCGTCCTGGAGAACATTGACAAGTGCCATTTACAGAATCGCAGATACTACTGTCACCGCAATCGCACATTTTTGTACATTGTGGACCCCAAAATCCCAATGGGCACGCTATAGAATAAAATTAATTAGTGTATTAGTGTATGTATATTCAATTTTAAAATATAAATTAAATTATATGCATATTGCATATATGGTATATTATATATACATGTACAGGAGAGATGTTACATGATGATTTATTACTGTACAAATTGAACTATTTTCTCTTATATATGTAGATTAAAATAGAAAATTTTCTATGAATAATATGGATTCAATACAAAATGATTATTCGCATAATCAGATATACAAATTGTTCATTTTGCTTGGCATCAAAATCACTGGATTTATTGTTTTATACATAAAATATCTATCGTATTAATGCATTTTCATCGTAATAATTAGTTGTTTAAAAAATCTAATGCCAAAAATGTGAAAACTATACAAAATCCCTCAACCTCTCTTAGATTATGAGAATAAAGAAGTTTTTATTTTAATTTGTAATGTCAACGTATTTCATGAATAGTTGACAGTCAAGACAAAGAAGGCAATTTCCACATAAAAGCGAGCTATTAATAAACGTTTCGTAAATACATGCAAGTGAAATTAATAAGTTTGTAAGAGCTAGATCGTAGATCGTATCTTCAAAATGTTTAAGGCGAACGTTTGTCATATAACGCGAATGTCTCTTATAAAGCATCGACATTACGATTGCGTTATGCGAACGTCGAACGCGTTATATCTGATCAACTGTACGCCGCCCACGACCTTCTCGAACGTTCACGGGAAAGTAGTGGCTTCGTAACTTCCGGGCTTCCGTAACTTTCGAAGCGTTCCCCGATCGTATTGACGCAACAGTTGCGTGCAATCCGCGACTTCTGCTTGTTTGACAACGATAAGTCAATCTATGATTTGTCATCAACTCTATAAGTTTTAGAAAAAAACTGCAAAAGGGAGAGAAAAAAAATTTTGGAAGATGTAATTGTGTCAAAAGCTTCATTAATCATAATAGATCCGAATATTAAAGGATGAGAAAATTATAATTAAAGTTACTAATAATGAAAAAACAAATACCGTTCCTTTATTTTAAAAATGATACAACTAAAAATTTTAAGATTTTTAGAAAAAACTATTTTTCAACTTAACAGAAAATTATTGATTAATTAAATAATATTGGCAAAAAATATACTCTTGTAAGCATGATTAAATGTCATTTTTGTTATTTCCGTTTCACAACTTTTAAAAAAATTTTTTTAGTTGTGATTCTGACATCCTATAAAACAGATCCTTATAACAAATCAGGAATAATATATTATAAAAGTGATATAATTCGAAATATCATCAACAGTTTGTAATTATCTTAATCAATTAAAATGACTAAATTCAAAATAAAATAATTTCTTCTTTTAACTTCGATCATTAAAACTGACTTCACTTTAAGTGTTCTTTGTAGAATTTCTTTTTTATTTACAAATAAAACGATATAACTCAAAATATAAATCAATATTACTCTTGAGAGTATTAATGAAACTTTAAGAACATACAAGTGCTATTGGCGAACGGACTGTGAAGTATCTAATTTATATATTTATTCGTAATAATTCGAAAATAACATTTTTTATTTGCATTATATTTAAAGGAACGATGTTTTTTTATGTGCCATATAGGTAATCAAAGACTGTCACAACATAATTCAACGAATTTTTAATAACTTTTATTGTGTCGTTATTTTATAACAACCGTGATTATGCCATAGTGCCTTTATAGAGGCACGTGTGGATTAACATCAGTTTTAACGAGATGCGTTGTACAAATTACATGAGAAATCCCACTCATTATTATGATTCGCGTGGAAGTACTATCTACTGGAAACAGTCATTTTTCACACGCGTGTTCTCGCGATCGTGGAAGGTCGGTCCGTTTCATGGAGCGTGAAATTTCTCATTGAGTTTTACTGCTCGTTTCGGATCTGTTCGCTCTCAATTTCGTTTCACAATCGCCGTGCGACGCATCATTTATTTTCTTAATTTCAGCTCTCATTCTTCGGACTGAAATCATTGCAAAATTAGCAGAATTATACGGTTTAATTAATTATTTAACCTTCAAAGTTTTCAAAAGTTTTAATTCAGTCGGTTTTGCATGCATATTCATCGCTGTTGCCTCGATTTAAATATACTCTTTTTAAATGTCATAGCAATTTATATATCAACACCTTGGCACTGCGAACATTATTCAGTCCAGTTCGATAAATAAAAGATGTTGCAAGTCGTCAGTCAAGATCGTCATTTCAATGACCTTCTAAAACGCTTTCATTGTTTTTTTAAGGATATCTTCGGGTCATTCTAATGTTCGTGTTGACAGTGATATTATGGGTAGAACTGTCATCGTCTTAAATAGCCACAATTGTCGCGGAATACAGATTTATTTGCTATACTATAACAAGTTGCTGTGTTATATTGAAATGACGGTACGTTGATTCTTAACTTAATAAAGACAGTAAACTTAATATTGAAAAAATACCATAAGTCTTACAAATATAACGAAAAATATTTTAGCTTCTTATTCTTCAGAATGTAATTTTTCTGAAACGCATTATTTAGAAACTAAAAATAATTATGGTAATTAATGTATATTAAATTCACGAAAAGCATAAAAGTTTTAAGAATCATCTCAATTACGTAAAAGTTTCAAAATTACAGGTTTAAATGACCAATGAGAAGTATTCGTTAGAAATATATATACACATCGATTAGATATTTAATGATGAGAGAAACGCCTAATGACTGTTGATTTCATTTCAAACTCACCATGAGCACAGTCATCTCCATAATATCCAGGATTGCAACGGCATTCGTTGGGTGCGACGCATACACCTACCACACATTTTTCGCAAAATGGTAAACAGCTCGCATCCGTTTCCGCATCGCCGTGAATTATTTTGTATCCTTCGCAGCATTCCTTCAGAGTCCTCGATTTTTTCTCCGTCTGCAATACATATTTTGAGATACACTTATATTTTAATTGATCTATTAAAGTGTCAGTCACGTCAAAAGAACGCTTTTAATTTCTGCAACCTCGTTAGGAGACCGATTTGAATAATCGTTAATAATTGTTTCACGTTGATATATAATAATTAAATAATTGAATGCCAGTCTGACATAAACATTATTAATGAGATTAATTAAGTATGGCATTAAAAAGAGAGGCTATATTGTTCTGGTGTTTTTTTCTTTTCGTTTGGAAAACGATTTCACCGATGACTTCAGTTACGACGAAGAATTCTAAAAGATAAGACGTTATATGACTCTCTAAGACACGAGATTTCGATCATCGACGAGAGTAAAAGTGAGAACGGTTGGAATGCAGAGAAGGCACGCGATGGTAGACGAAGGGGGATCACAGTGAGAAACAAGAAGAGGAACACACGCGTACATAACGAGTTCCTGCTCGCAACATTGAATTGACCGACTAAACGTGACGTCCGAGCGGTATATAAAAATATCACAGATACAATAGTAAATAAAAACGAAATGTACGCGAACGCGCACATTGAAAAAATAACAGCTAATTTAATTTTAATTATTTTTTATAAGAAATAAATTTACTCGGTGCTTTTTTTATTTACTGTATCATTTGAGCTAGTATGTAATACATACATCTCGCTGTTAAGAGATTTTCATAAAGTTTTTTAACAAATTTCTCTATTAACGATTGATTATTATTTTCCAAACATTATATGATATTTGGAAGAAATATTGACTTCTATTGAACATTGAGTATCAAAGATTAGTAGAACGATAAGAAATTTGTTGTAAAAGATATGCGCGCGTGAAAACTGCCGCGTCCGCTGCAATAAAATATTGAATCAGATATATCTTCTTCTCTTTTATGCGAACGTTATTACATTTTATCTCTGTTCATTGCTCCTGCGATATTGCTATTACGTGATTTTCGTTTTAAACGTTACGTCGATGGACCAATGTGCCGTACGTTCGACATTCTCTCCACTTTTGCTTGATTACAGAACAAAATCCGGCTCGGGCAGTGCACCTTTAATGAGCACTTTATATTATGTAAATTTTGTACCTTCAGTTTTTTTGACAGGACATTTTGACATGCCTTCAGAAAGATAACGACTTATATATAACATAATAAATAAAGTATCTGATATAAACTGAATTATATGCAAACTGATTAATGTACATATAATATTTGAACACTCTTTTTTGCTTTCACTTAGAAAGGTTTTTCTAATCTAGACATATATGTTATGAAATTATATTATCGCCCTTTTAATTCGTTTTTCAAGATTTTCTTTAACATTGGAAATAATCTTTTATGTAAAACTAGATAAAATATACATTCAGTTCATGTAATAAATCATTAATCGCAATAATTATTATTGAAAAATGTCAATGTAATTAATTTAATTAATAATTAAATAGTTTAAAGATTTAACTAAAACAAATTTAAATTATTTTAAAGAGAATTAACATTTAAACCATTTCCCATTAAATCATATAATATTAGGAAGTATACATGCGGAAGTATACGTTTTTATTTGTATATCATAATCTAATATTTAACGTTGAACAGACCAGTAATTTCTATATACGTAAAACCTCGGCTGTAAAGTCATTAAGTTAATTGATGAACATGTTCCGTGTCTCTTCATAAATCATTTGGAATTGTAGATCTTTACGGCGAGAGCTACCAGATGCACTGGAAACTGACGCGTCAAAGTTTTTTTGTTCCTACTAAACGCCGTAACTGACATGATTAATTCCCATAGCAAACCTTTCGCTTGCGTAAGGAGACTCTCTTTCACAAAGAGGAGAGATAAGTTATTGATTGCAATATTGCTCTCAAATATAATCATACTGGTGGGCCAGATATACTGTATATTAAGGATGTGCGGAGAAGCATAGACTATCGATATTTCGTATCAATATGAATCGAAATACACAATCGATACGGCATCATATTGATTGGAAATGATTCGATATTCGGGAATATCGTTACTTTTTTTGCATGTTTTATTATATAGAGACGTGCGGAGAGCACGAACTTTCAATTTTAAAGAAAAATTAAAAAAAAAATCACTAGGTAAATTCACTAATTTATCAATAAAATTATAAATATTTTAGTAAATCTATATATACACAAATGGGAATGGGAGAAAGATTGATGAGGATAAAAAATTATGCATTTATACATTTTATACAAGACATATATTCGTCATTTTATATATATAAGTCTAACTGACAAAGATAATGTGAAACATAAAATTTTGTTTAATTTTATTTATGATGGCGTTGATCGCGATGTCGTAAATTGTCCCCGAATTGACGTTTATGCGGTTGAATTTTGAAAATACGACCTTTGTATCGAATCAATTGATATCTACATTCCAGATCCGATATGCTATGATACGGAAACTAAAAATTTCAATGCAAATATCAAATATCAAAAGAGATAATGATACGATATTTCAAAATATCGATTATATCGGAACATCCCTACTGTATATGCGTTTTAATCGACATTATCGATTTCAGAAATCTTATGATGCCTGATAGCATCACCTAAAAGAGATAATGATACGATATTTCAAAATATCGATTATATCGGAACATCCCTACTGTATATGCGTTTTAATCGACATTATCGATTTCAGAAATCTTATGATGCCTGATAGCATCACCTCGACATTATCGATTTCAGAAATCTTATGATGCCTGATAGCATCTACATGACCCTGTTGTTCTATCATAGAACATGTAGATTTATAATTGCAATAGAATATTATTCGCAAATGCGTATATATTAAAATAATTGCGTAATAATTTCAAAGTAATTTCAAAGTAATAGTTCCGTAAAAATGTATTAAATCGATTATATTATAATTGTATTAAATATAAGTATTCATAATTAAATTATGAATGTCATATATAATATCATTTAGCTGTAAATGTAGATAACTTAATAATTTACATAATTGACAATTTTTTAACAATTTATTCTGTAAATATTTAAAGCGTCTTAGATTAACATAGTAAAATGTTTTTAAAATTTTTAACTTATATGATATCCTGATTTATAGCACGGAAAACTTTTTTTCTCTCTCATCTACCTTATGCTTTATATATATCCTATATATATATATATATATATATATATATATACATTATTACTCAAAAGTTGTGCAATTCAGACGTTTTCTAGCATAGTAGAAAACGCTAAGTGACCTCGACTTATTCAACGGTAATTTTCGCTCATTATACAATATTATCCTGCTCGTATTTTTTGTTCAACGTTTCCCTTTTTTTTAATTCGGACGTCAATTGACATTGGCTATTATAAATGTCAATTACGTCATACGTATCAGTATGTCTTGTTGTTACTGAACGTTACTAACAACAAATTTTTAACTTGATCGCATACAAACGATCCTTTATCGTTGCGTTACGTTTAATACGTTTTCTCTGAGAAGTTAACGACTTCGCTTCTCGCGCACCGCGGCCACTTTATTCGCCCATAATTCTCCGTGATCGGTAATTAACGGCATATTACGTTTTAGTTTCATTCCCCTCTAGTAAGTCCAATCTACTCGAAGCAAAGCGGTTTCTTAATGATGGGAAAAAATAGACAAGAAATAATGCTTCACATTTACCGACGTTGACCGTTTTCAAACGCAAGATAGCGTTACACTTTTGCATTACAAGAGATCCGTCCTTTTTAGCTGGATTTCTTACAATGTTCTTTTCTCTTGCTTCCTCCAACGTGAAAGTAAAAGGAGGAAAGATAAACTGTAAAAATCAGCTGAAAAGAACAAATCTAAAAGTTATACGTTCATCAGCTTCCAAGAATACACCTGTAAATTAGAGAGATAAACGATTACCTTCGCATAACGGCACCTACGCTGGAATTCGCGTCGATGCTGTTGAGTCACTTTTACGTGAGCATTGCGTTATCAACTGCACAGTTTCTTACGTAGTCAATGTGAGTACGTGCGACGACGACGTTTCGTATGCTAACAAGCTAAACCTTTGATCGCGCGGCGAGGTGAATTCGTAAGGCATGTACAATCCGATGAGTAGATTCAAGGCTTCGATAAACGCCAGATTGGCGAAGCTTCGATGAAAGCTGTAATTGTTTTGCATCATAGCACTACCTCGTACGCCACCATCGTATACACGAGATCGTATCGCGATAATACGATAGCTGCCTCGCAAAGCTCTAAGTAGGTCGATACTGAATATAACAAGCAGGTGATTCTATTAACGATAGATCTCGAGTAATTAACGCGAATCGTTGATGAAAATTATAGAAAATGTAATATATTGATTATACGCTTGTTATACAGATAAACTATCAAATACCTTTTGAATGGAAATGAGAATATATTTTTTTTACTTTTACTTTTAATTAATTGGCTTTGTAAAAAAATCTTGCATTTAAGATTTTTAATTATGTTATATAAGGAACTCCGTGCAATACAATAAAAAATTCTATAACAATATAAAAGAAATAACATTCTTTCACGTGAAAAAAATCTATCGGCAATTTTGCTAATTATATTGTATTATATAATTAATTATTATCAATAATTATTATTATAATTAATTAAGTATTTATTTTATTTTTTTTAGTTCAGTTCAGATTTAAAAAAAATTAAATATGCTAAAATGCATATTAAATGCGTGGTAATTATTTATATGCGAAGATCGTTCTTTAAAAAAAAATTTTATTTTAACAGAGATAAGTATCTCCTCTAGAGAAAAAAGACTTTCGAAACGATAATTATAACAGAATACGTGACGCATAATGTCGATATAATGGTGAAATATCCTTTTTTCTTCATAGGCTGCATTAAGAAGGTTCATTGTCCATATAATAAACCGTGCAAAATGCCTCATGTGTGTATTTGTATATGTATGCCTGTGTACCTTACTTGGCGTAATGTGATTACATTGCGGGCGTTC